AAGCAGGGCTTGCTGAGTAGGGAATGCCTGTCCCGGTCTGGTCTGAGCCACGGGGGCGCTACTGCGTACGGAGAATGAACTGACAACTGGCGGGGTAAGATGGCCGTCCCTCCGTACGAAGAAGATGAGGCTGTGGTGTAAGCCGGTGGCGTGTAGTTGACAGAGCGAAGAGATTTGGGAAAGAGAGGTTCTGATTCGAAAAGAGTCCTGGCTGTTTCTGCGGTAGAAAGTGCTCTGGTAGTTCTGGAGGAGGGAGGAGCAGGGAGGGAGAAACAGGAGGGAGAAAGAGGAGAAAAGAAGTATTTTACTAAGTGCCCATGGTGCCGTTTCCGTGCACACGGAAAAACAAGTGTGCATCAATTGGAATGCGTACTAAATTTGTTAGGCATCTCGACCGTTGAAATCTACATGCTTTAGAAGCCCTGGGGACCATTACGTAGCATCCTCGTTGCAGTCGGAACACTACAACTCAAGGGCCCTTTAGGCTTCTAATGCACATAGATTTCACGGACTAACTAAAGGGATAATATACCGGTTTTTGGGCCCAAGACATTGAATCAACTTCATCGATCATTCTGGTCTGTTTGAGAGGTGAGAAGATGATGCAGATGCCCCACTGGGGAGCCAGGTACTTGACGCCGCTGTGGATGATGTATAATCGCCACTATTGCCGCGTTGTTACTCGTCTGTGTGGGTTGGAAAGAAAGGAGAGAAGGAGAGGTGAAGCATAAATTGAATGTTTCACTTACGAAAAACGTCTGGCAATCATCGTCTCTCGACGAGCTGCAGGCAGAGACAAGAGGCACACTCAAAACCACTCTCCATCACAGATGTAAAAACTCACTGATTAGCAGGGCGAGGTCATAGGAGAATGTCACCACGGTAACCAATTGATACACAATCACCAACCTAGCAAAAAGAGGTAGTTGTTGCGGTTAACTTGAGAGCCTGGGATATTATCATTTGTACCATGCGTACACAATGCTAGTATATAGACTTAGTAATAAAAAGTGTGTATTGAAAGTGTGTTGTGAAGTACATAGCTAATTCAGTAATACTGCCGTACCCCCAAAGTTGGGCTTTCTGTGAGAGGCGGTTGCTGCGAGCTGTCGTGATTTGACTCAGCTTGCGAGAGATGTAGATGACGGCAGCGAAGAACAGTTGGACCACCAGAAGTTGGGACGCCGAGAACAGTAGCCACTGGGGCTCTAGTTTACAGAGAGATTACTAGGGATTACTAAAGTATGCAAGATAATACAAAAGATTAGAGTTCATTACTAGCACCCACTGTGGGTCTAGATTACGGAGAGTTTACTGGGGACAAAAACAGGCCAGCAGTTAGGTACTAAGGCTCTAGATTACTGGAATATACTAAGGGATTACTGTAGTATCCAAGAAATTACAAGAGATTACATACGTGTGCACTCTTGTTTGTCATTTTGCAGTCTGAGTATAGCCCATGCCGTCACGGCAAAGAAGTACAGCAGAAGAGCTAACAACACTCCATAAAGAATACTGCAAGACAACACCAGACATACAGAAATTAATCATGGATGATTGCGACAAATATTTCTATAGTTTCAGCAAATATTTAGCAAGATTCCTCCTTTTTTTACTCGTGAAAATTATCCCGATTGGATTGAAACTTACACTTTGAGAATGTTTTCGTATTTCAGTATGCGTGCGGCCCAGGAACAGAAGAATAGAGCTATCACAATTAGCTGGACAATGATAGAGAGAGAGGTCACATAATGTGTATAAACAGCAGGGAGGGAGGGAGGGAGGGAGGGAGTTTGTATGTATGAAATGGTACCTGAATGACGACAAGAAAAGTTAGGAAAAAGTCGATGACTGCTGATGAGATGTAGGCCCAGTGAATAATACTGTGTGAGAATGAGATACAGAGACACTAACAAAAGAGCTGATGAAAACATTATGTTTGTTAACTTAACGGGTGGTCATGGAACACTGACATATTAAGTAGACATGACAAAAGCATGGCAATTATTTACCAATACATATTGCTAGCAGAGGTAGTAAACAAGAATAACGTGTTTACAAGGACACCCACATACATTATTTACATACCCCACTGTTGAGTATATACAAGTTGAAAGGGCAGTAAGTCTCTTACCTCACATCCTATGATGTAACTACCATCATAGTATATACGTGCTGACATGACCACAACATGAGGATGTACATAAAAACATGAGCATTATGACATGGCATACATAGATAGACAACTCTATAGTACTTCAAGAGACGGTTGTTTGTTTGACAATGCGACCATTCTTACTCTTTCAGTGTAGCGGGGCATTAATTAGAAATTCATCCAAAGGGGAGACGAGAGGGGAAGCTGACCTGAGGACACAGAGGAGGAGTCCGGTGTAGTAGATGGTGTACTGACTGTAGCTCCTTGATCTGTACCAGTGATACTGCACCAGCTGTTCGACCAATCAGATTGCAGTAATCAGACTTTTTATATTCACTGAACAGACTTATAATGTAGTGTGTGTTTGTTGTGTGTTGTATGCATTAGACACTGTATGTAAACAGCAACACTATATATACATCACTAGACTGTTGCATGGTGCATGACAGGGATTCTGTCCCTTCTCATGGAGTTTTCAAAATGGAGCTTACAAAATCACCAAAGGCTTTCTAATCTGTTTTTGGCACCACTAGCCACACATATCCAGTTTCCCCCAGGAATGCAGCATATTGGGGGTGGTTACAATGGGAGACAATAGATCCAAGCGCTGTAGTAACCTTTAGCCCCATTCTTACTGTCAATTTACCCATTTATTCATTGATTTAACCCTCCCATTCCCTAATGACCCATTCAAACTTTTAGCTTGTGATGCAATAAAATTTGTAATTTTACTCCATTCTCACTTTTTAGTTTGTGGTTTAACCCCTTCTCACCTTGCGGCATTGATGATGGTGACCTTTGAACCGTGGGCGACAGTGAGGAACTGTCTATCATGAGACAGTTCGATACTGGTTGCCGGGGATTCCAGGACCAGCGTCTTAGCCACACCCCCTGTACGAGTGTCCCACAGCCTTTGCAAGAACGAGAGAGCGCACCTTGAAGCTACACGTGTGTATGTAGGAGTCACAGTGTATACTACTGTATACTATCAGCTAAACGTATGTATGTAGGAGTCACAGTGTATACTACTGTATACTATCAGCTACACGTATGTATGTAGGAGTCACAGTGTATACTACTGTATACTATCAGCTACACGTATGTATGTAGGAGTCACAGTGTATACTACTGTATACTATCAGCTACACGTATGTATGTAGGAGTCACAGTGTATACTACTGTATACTATCAGCTACACGTATGTATGTAGGAGTCACAGTGTATACTACTGTATACTATCAGCTACACGTATGTATGTAGGAGTCACGGTGTATACCACTGTATACATCAGCTACACGTATGTATGTAGGAGTCACAGTGTATACTACTGTATACTATCAGCTACACGTATGTATGTAGGAGTCACAGTGTATACTACTGATACTATCAGCTACACGTATGTATGTAGGAGTCACAGTGTATACCACTGTATACTATCAGCTACACGTATGTATGTAGGAGTCACAGTGTATACTACTGTATACTATCAGCTACACGTATGTATGTAGGAGTCACAGTGTATACTACTGTATACTATCAGCTACACGTATGTATGTAGGAGTCACAGTGTATACTACTGTATACTATCAGCTACACGTATGTATGTAGGAGTCACAGTGTATACTACTGTATACTATCAGCTACACGTATGTATGTAGGACTCACAGTGTATACTACTGTATACTATCAGCTACACGTATGTATGTAGGAGTCACAGTGTATATATACCACTGTATACCATCAGCTACACGTATGTATGTAGGAGTCACAGTGTATACTACTGTATACTATCAGCTACACGTATGTATGTAGGAGTCACGGTGTATACTACTGTATACTATCAGCTACACGTATGTATGTAGGAGTCACAGTTGTATACTACTGTATACCATCAGCTACACGTATGTATGTAGGAGTCACAGTGTATACCACTGTATACCATCAGCTACACGTATGTATGTAGGAGTCACGGTGTATACTACTGTATACCATCAGCTACACGTATGTATGTAGGAGTCACGGTGTATACTACTGTATACTATCAGCTACACGTATGTATGTAGGAGTCACGGTGTATACTACTGTATACTATCAGCTACACGTATGTATGTAGGAGTCACGGTGTATACTACTGTATACTATCAGCTACACGTATGTATGTAGGAGTCACGGTGTATACCACTGTATACTATCAGCTACACGTATGTATGTAGGAGTCACAGTGTATACTACTGTATACTATCAGCTACACGTATGTATGTAGGAGTCACGGTGTATACCACTGTATACTATCAGCTACACGTATGTATGTAGGAGTCACAGTTTATACTACTGTATACTATCAGCTACACGTATGTATGTAGGAGTCACAGTGTATACCACTGTATACTATCAGCTACACGTATGTATGTAGGAGTCACAGTGTATACTACTGTATACTATCAGCTACACGTATGTATGTAGGAGTCACAGTGTATACCACTGTATACTATCAGCTACACGTATGTATGTAGGAGTCACAGTGTATACTACTGTATACTATCTAAGGACTGACATTATACAATTTTTTTCCCCACACGCTAAATTTTTAACTGAGCCTGGGGAAAGTCATTTTACCCATTTATTCATTGATTTAACCCTTCCATTTCCACCGTGTCCCTAATGATGTAAACCCATTTACACTTTTATTAGCTCACTTTGCAATAAATTTGTGATTTTATTCCTATTCTCACTTTTTAGTTTGCGGTTTAACCCCGTTCTCACCTTGCGGCATTGATGATGGTGACCTTTGAACCGTGGGCGACAGTGAGGAACTGTCTATCATGAGACAGTTCGATACTGGTTGTAAAATTTTTTTCCACACGCTAAATTTTTAACTAAGCCTGGGAAAAATATTGCCTACACAATCACTATCTGAAGACTGACGTGATAAAATTTTTTTCCACACGCTAAATTTTTAACTAAGCCTGGGAAAAATATATCCTTCACAATCACAGTGTAAACTATCTGAAGACTGACGTGATATCCTTGTCCTCGCAGCAGGAAGACAGCATGGCCGGCTCCCTGGTCCAGACGGCAGACTTGACGGCAGACGAACTGCCGGCCAGCAGCTGGGGGTCGGAGTCCGGCCGACTCAGGTCAAACACTCGCAGCATCTTGTCGTTGCAACCTGACAGGAGGCTCCCGCTGTCCTGTGGGTGGAGGCCCAGGCGTCGGCATAGGCATAAAGTGAGAATTGAAATTAACGCAGAAAAAAACTGTTGAAATATAGCACGCTGAGATTCGCTGCAATTCTTTTCAAGATCTGATAAAATATTATATTAACAAGTATTACAGCAAATGAACAAACAATTTGCAGTGTGTTTCATCAAAATCAAGTTTACATTATTACTTGAAGGGTTGTTACTTGAAGATCTGAATACGATTGTTTCCAAAGTCACTGACATACAGTGTTCCTTTCTTGTCTACTGCTAGTCCAAATGGACGATCAAACTCCACAGGACCTTTTCCCTTCTTCCAAATGACTTGATAAACTCTCCATCAGTAGAGAATATTGATATACGATTGTTCCCCAGTTCACCAACATACACTACATTGCCAGAGTCAATAGCAATACTGACTGGCTCGTTTAGTTCTCCCTCTCCTTCTCCCTTCTTCCCAAACTGCCTCAAGTAGACTCCATCGACTGTGAAGACCTGGATTCTGTGGTTGTCACTGATCAGCTACATACACATTGCCTTCTCTGTCAGTAGATATGTCGTAAGGCTCATTGAACTCTCCATTGTTAGAGCCTTCCTACCAAAACTACTGGAGTATGTGAGGTCAGAGTTCAGAACCTGAATTCTGTGGTTGTCACAGTCAGCAACATACACCTTGCCAGTGTGAGGATGAACTGTAATGCCTCTGGATACTGGAACTGAAGAGGTCCACTGCCCTGGGTACCGACTGTTCTGAGGTGTTTGCCAGTGGATGACAACTGCTGAATACGATGGTTGCCACAGTCAGCCACAAGAATGTTTCCTCCATTGTCTATTGCTACACCTTAGGACTGTCGAACTGACCAGGACCTGAGCCACGAGTACCAAATGATTTCTTCTCTCCATTACCACTGATGATTGATACACAGTGACCACACGTTCTGCTACCACCACCTCCCCTCCCTCCCTGACAGCTATACCCCATGGCCCCATTGAGGTCTCCAATGATGTTGGCTGGGGCAGTGAAGTTGGGTAGAACGGTGACAGTGAACGGACTGTTCAAGATCGGGTGCTCTTCAATTAGAACGTGTAGTTGAAGTTCTCCAGTGGCCTGAGGCTGGTAGCTGATGTCGTAGATGTTCCGATTTCTTCTCTTCACAGTGCCCCTGACTCGACTGCTGCCATCGCAAGCAACTAGCTCACACCTCAAGCTGCCTACAGGTCTGAGGTAGGCTTCTCCCTCCCTATCTAAAGCCTCTACAGAGACAGCCGCTATTTGCCCTCTCATGGCTACCTTGATGCCTTCACCTGAGGCTCGACATTTCTCAGGGCACACCTGACTGCAGTACACCTTACCAAACCGTTGGCAAGTCTTCACCAGTTCAGGTAGACTGTGAGCAAACACCATGTCGGCTTGCTCGGCAAGAGCCAATGTCTCCGGTTTGAAGCTGCCTGTCAGATCGTTGACTTGTTTCACGATAGGACTTTTCATCCTCAGAATCTCCCCCTGCCTGCAAGTACGTCGGCTCTCCTCCACAAAGTCCTGGCAGCTCCTCAGCTGGCCCAGTTGCAGTTCAAACCCGTCTCGCTGTGCTGCCAAGGTCTTCAGTTTCTGCTGTGCCGTCTGCTCTGCTTGACCCACCAGCTCTGTCTCCCTCGCCTCTAGAGCTTGTCGCAGGTGTGCCATGGCAGTGCGGATCTCTGCCACCACAGCCGTCTTCTGTTCTACGACTGCAGCACATCGAGTGTTCACCGACTCAACAGCTCTTTCTAACGTAGCAATCTGTTCTTCCACTGGCTTGAGAGAGTCCACGATCACTTTCTCTTGCTTGGCAAACGACTCGGGCACCAGATCGTACTGGTGGTCGCGATGAACACGAACGATGCAGTCTCGACATATCAACTCGTCGCACGTCTCGCAGTAGAGGTCTGCCTTTGTTTCCTGGTGTTTGGAGCAAAACAGAGTCTTCTTGAGAGGAGGAACGAGGGTGGTCACGTCTCCAGTCAAGGTGTCCAGGTCGATAATCTCGTGGGTTTTGAAAGTTTCGTCCCATTCGGTGATGCGTCCTTAGCAGCGCTCGCACACAAACCCACAAGTGCGACAAAAGCCAGTTGCCTCACGTTTCTTGCACTTGTTGCACATTGTTTGTTCGCTGGAGCTCACTTTCTTGAGGGCATCTTGGACGTCGAAGAGGTAGTGGATGTAGAAGGCTCCTTGGAGCCCCGGGACTCCGCCCACTGGCAGTGGAGTGTCCTGGCGACATTGTGGACATGGGAGACTCTGTCCCTCTCGTCCCCCACGTACCAGACGTTGCAGGCACTGCTCGCAATACACGTGGAAACACTTGAGCAGCCTCGGCTGTTTGTAGGGCTCCAGACATATCCCACAGGTGACCTGGTCCTGGATCTTCTGGAGGGCTTTCTCGGCAGCAGTGGAGGGCTTGGCAGCCATGGCTCCGTCAGTAGTGCAGCAGACGGATCAAGTGTAGAGAACGCGGACCCAGCGCTGTGCTAACTCCAAGAAATTGGCAAAACTGAGGCTGACAGGAAATAGCACTGTCACTTTACCAATATTTAGTCCGAGATCTGGAGCTGCTTGCATGCCTGGCCTTATTTGGAGATTCTAGTGAGATCATGAATACTGAAACAAGTGGTCCGATATAATTATACGTAATGCGCATAGGTGACTTACAGCATTGGACTGTCCAAATAACATTCACCCAGTGCATCAACACACTAACAGAAATAGGTGACTTAGCTACTTACAGCAAGCCAAACCAAAACCAAGCAGCACAGCTGCAACCAGAATGTACACGCTTAAATGGCAAATGCAAACCATGACACCCGAATGAACCACCAAATAGGACAATTTGAGAGGCCTAATTTCAGTTTGACTTATGTGAGAGAAATCTACAACTTTGACGATGTGCTTGAGACTGCCTTGTTACTCCATAATTATAAGAGAGTCACGAAATTTGTTGTTGGTTACTCAGTGCATAGTATGCCATAAGAAAACCAGAGTGAAAGTCTTCAGCTTATCACCCGTCATGGCATTCTGAAGAAGACGCGGGCGAGAGAGGAGGGGTACGATCTGGGACGCGTGGCTGACCCACTGTTTCTCCTTCATCCGTCCCAGGGTCGCTACGTGAGACTAACTCCAGAACTGGTACTGGAACTGGAGAATGGGAACCTGAAACTCTGAACACGTTCGACACCACAGACAATTAGTATAGATTTAACATAAGCAATTCCATTGTTAGAGACTTCAACAGTTGGTATAGTGCGAGTTCTTGTGCAGAACAAAAAGAAAAAAATTTTAATGGCTTTTCACAACTAATGCTGTTACCTTACTTATGAAAATATTGATTGATTGATTGGTTGACTGCTTCTAAACTATCGTATATATGTACAAAATTGCGAGTGATGATGTCGTTGTTTGTATAATATACAGTACTGTTCCCTAGGAAACACCAGGGCTGTTGTTATTGCTGCTGCTGTTGCTATGGTTATTGCGAGATGCGACGACCTCGTCGGCGCTGCGCCACAGTCCGTAGCTCTTCCCGACGGAGTGTTGCCAGAGACGAATTGTTCCGTCCTCTGACCCCGAACAGTAGACCTCTCCGTCTGGACTGTAGCGGACACAGTGAACTGGTCCAAAGTGACCCTTGTATGATTCTATGGGGAGAGATTACTGAAGATTACTGACAGTTTACTGTGTATGGTTCTGAAGATTACTGACAGTTTACTGTGTATGTTTTAAAGATTACTGGCAGTTCACTCTGAAGATTACCAACAGTTTACTAGGTTTACAGTACGCTAGTTCTGAAGGCATTCTGTATCGATTACAGCGATAGAAATTGGGTATGCTATTACTTTACTGAGCTAGTTTACTAAGAGAATACTGACAATTTACTGAGCTCACCAACTTCCTTTTCCTCCTCGTAGTCAAACTTGTAGAGTTTGAAATCGTCTCCCCCCGTCACCAGCCACTTGCCAGATGGGTGGAGTGTCGCCGAGAAGCACAGCGGCACCGAGACTGTCTTGACCTTCTCAAAACTTTAGAGAGAGCAGAGAAAATACCGTTCAGCTGAAAACTTCGCGAAAACCCTCCAAAAGCAAGTCTGTTGGTTTTGTGAATATGGCTAGTGTGCATCGCACGCTATATTTAACCCCATCCTTACAGTCATTTTACCCATTTATTCATTGATTTAACCCTCCCATTTCCACTAATGACATTCACACTTTTAGCTTGTGATTCAATAAATTTGTGATTTTACCCCATTCTCACTTTTTAGTTTGTGGTTTAACCCCTTCTCACCTTGCGGCATTGATGATGGTGACCTTTGAACCGTGGGCGACAGTGAGGAACTGTCTATCATGAGACAGTTCGATACTGGTTGCCGGGGATTCCAGGACCAGCGTCTTAGCCACACCCCCTGTACGAGTGTCCCACAGCCTTTGCAAGAATGAGAGAGCACACCTTGAAGCTACTACACGTATGTATGTAGGAGTCACAGTGTATACTACTGTATACTATCAGCTACACGTATGTATGTAGGAGTCACGTGTATACTACTGTATACATCAGCTACACGTAGTATGTAGGAGTCACAGTGTATACTACTGTATACTATCAGCTACACGTATGTATGTAGGAGTCACAGTGTATACTACTGTATACTATCAGCTACACGTATGTATGTAGGAGTCACAGTGTATACTACTGTATACTATCTAAGGACTGACATGATAAAAATTTTTTACACACTAAATTTTTAACTGAGTCTGGAAAAAATATTGCCTACACAATCACAGTGTAAACTATCTGATGACTGACGTGATATCTTTGTCCTCGCAGCAGGAAGACAGTATGGCCGGCTCCCTGGTCCAGACGGCAGACTTGACGGCAGACGAACTGCCGGCCAGCAGCTGGGGGTCGGAGTCCGGCCGACTCAGGTCAAAAACTCGCAGCATCTTGTCGTTGCAAACTGACAGGAGGCTCCCGCTGTCCTGTGTTTTTTCCACACGCTAAATTTTTAACTGAGCCTGGGGAAAATATTGCCTACACAATTACAGTGTAAACTATCTGAAGACTGACGTGATATCCTTGTCCTCGCAGCAGGAAGACAGCATGGCCGGCTCCCTGGTCCAGACGGCAGACTTGACGGCAGACGAGCTGCCGGCCAGCAGCTGGGGGTCGGAGACCGGCCGACTCAGGTCAAACACTCGCAGCGTCTTGTCGTTGCACCCTGACAGGAGGCTCCCGCTGTCTTGTGGGTGGAGGCCAGACGTTGGCATAGGCATAAAGGTGAGAATGGAAATTAATGCAAAAAAACTGTTGAAATATAGCACGCTGAGATTCGCTGCAATTCTTTTTAAGATCTGATAAAAACAAGTATTACAGCAGATGAATAAACAATTTGCACGTGTTCATATACTTGAAGGGTGTTACTTGAAGACTGAATACGGATTGTTTCCAAAGTCACTGACATACAGTGTTCCTTTCTTGTCTACTGCTAGTCCATATGGACGATCAAACTCCACGGACCTTTTCCCTTTCTTCCAAATGACTTGATAAAACTCTCCATCAGTAGAAATATGATATACGATTGTTCCCCAGTTCACCAACATACACTACATTGCAGAGTCAATGTAATACTGACTGCTGGTTTAGTTCCCCTCT